CCAGACAAGAATTTCATTTGTGTTTCAGAAATCTCAGGGATGTTGGCGTGCATGCTATTGGGCCCTGAACGATGCTGATCATACACTCTTTTCAAAGGGGCTTAAATTAGTGGACTGGACCCATCTAGACCTACCAGTACTCGCTATCTCCCCAAAGCATCTCGCGCAGAATATAGGGCGCCCTCGGACAATGATTTGGCTCACATCTCTCATAAAAAGGTGACAAGATGGCTGCCTATGTGGTACGTACTTCCTCAAAATTTGCAGATGGTCATGATTTGTTTCGTTACCATATCTGCAGTTTATTTCTACATTATTATTTAGAAAAACATTTTTTTGGAGAAATTCCAGTACATTGACCAGAAAATTCATACTCAATGAACTTTGAGTCAAAGTTTGATTTGTAAATGTCGATGCGCGCGTTCGTTGCAAGGAACATGAACGTCGTTGTACTTAGGCTACAGGCTACTCCCAGAACTGTTGGGTCCAACCTCCGCCCCGCTCCTTTCGTGGGAGCGGGGTGGACGTTGGACCCCACAGTTCTGGGGGTAGGTTACGGCCTACAGGCTACAGTAAAAATTTGATGAAGTTTTTATTGACATCTTTCCGCCGGCATCCGGTTTATATCATCCCTGCAGTGTTACTTACAATTTCTACACATTCTTCATGTTCTTAGGTTGGAGTGAATGAATGATCATGAGCCGCTTCTGTTGTAACCTTCTGATGTGTCTGAGTAGCCCTGACATTAGGCCCCTTCCCTTAGATTTGGATTAGGTCTAGGGCCTCATTAAGAAATGTTTAACTTAAAGTACAGGCATGACAGAGCCTGTTAAAAAGACCAACCTGTAAAAAATTGATTAACCCTAACCCTCCTCAATCCTCCAACAGGTGAAGGATTGAGGAGGGTTAGGGTTAATGCTGTAGAAAGACTTTCATACATGTATGGACACCACTAAACACCCGTGCACAAACCCATGAGACTGGTCTGAAAAATTTTAAGTGTTTTTTAAGTGAATTACGCAAGTTTCCACAGCTAAATGTCTGTTTTAGGACGTTTCGGTGCTTTCAGATGGCTTATACTGAGACAAATCAGTGGCACCCTGCTGTAATGTCATTTCCTCTGTTTAATCATCAGATTTGAATTGATTTTGGAGAAGGGAAGTTTGAGACTTGATCAAGGGTATGCATATACATATGCATATGTTGGTTTCGATCAGCTGATCTGCCCAATGTTCTGCATGATTGGTCAATTCTCCAAGTTTACTTCCCTTTCACAAAACAGTCTGTCACAACCATGAATTAGAAAAGGGCGATTGGCTGATGGTGGAATTATCAACGAATCATACAACATCACTGTCGACCGATTCTGCAAAGATGGAGCAATCGCTCATATCGACCAATGACACCCAACATACATGTAGGGTGTTTCAAACTAATCTATCCTTTGGACTGCATTCCTTTGAAATCGACTTTTCTCACGTCTAAATGCTGAGTATATTCAGCTTCGTGATTGCATACATTTTTATACATCCGTGTAATAATAACACTCGTATCCTTAACTATACCTTTTAATGCATGTGATTGATTTCAGGACGATCCCGAGGATGACAAAATTGATGACTACTGGAATACATCATCTAGGTCTGCTCGGACCAAAACCTCCAACTTCTTTGACGATTTCTCACCAAATAACGTGAGACACATTATTTTTTGGAAGCAGGAATTTTTGATCGCCTTAGCTGTTTCAGTGTGAAAAAGCAACAATGAACAATTTTGTCTGTAGGGTTGTTTGACTTCCCTTGTGTGCAACAACTGCACTGAAATAAGCTTGAGGATCTCCTGTTTATTTCCCAGGATGAGAGGAGTGTGTTTGGGGCGGATAAGAGTCAAGCTCTCTCCTTCAAGGAGACGATGAAAGCTGCTGGCCTGGGATTGGATGAGGACGATGAGGATCAAGACACCATCATTGGCTGGGATGGAAGTGAGTGCAAGTCACTAGTGTATTTGATTCCATCACAAGTCCTGTCACAAGTAACAAACAGTCCTGGGTGGATGTCTAGGATCTTCATGTTAGCGTGATAACTGGAGAAATACTTAAGTGTATGAACTTCAGGTTTGGTTTGGGACCAAAAAGTCAAAGATTAAGGTCACAACAGTTAAAACAATAGATACCCTGTCAGTGTACAGTCATTTACAAAAGTTTAGGACCACCCATACAAAATGCATTAACCTGACGAAAAACTTAAACTTAAACTGGTTAACCAAACCAGCTACAGTTTATGTGAATACATTTCCATGATTTTAATAGTCTAATATTCAGTGTTCCTTCCTTTATTTCTGATTACTTAGACTGGCTTTTTTTCCACTCTGCCTAACAGACAAAATGTCATACAAGACCTGCCTTTGCAAACAATTTCATTCAAATGGGTATATAGCACTACATTGATGTTATGCACCACTGTAGAAACATGTTAGGTAATCAATCAGTGAGACAATGTAATGCAGGCCCAGTGACAGAAATACCAATAGAATTCCAGGTGGTCTTAAACTTTTGCAAATGACTGTAATAATATGAGAAAAGCTTGGTATATCAACTTAAAAGTTAGTTTGTGGATCAGTCTAAATAATCTAGGAGTTTTTTTGCATTTGATCCAAAGGTTAAAGGTCAAGGTCACAGTGATAAAAACAATAGAAAACTTGCTACATGTAATTTAGGAAACACCACAGACAAACCATACAAATATGGCTTGTGCATTGGTTTGTAATCCCATCAGCTTATTGTATTTAAGCATGAAAGGTCAAGGGTAAAGGTCAATTTTGTCATTTGAAAATTTAACTGGTAATAGGTTTAGGCATGGGTTCAGCAGGGCATTTGTGATTGTTATCGTTTCATTTCATTGAGAAGCATTTCATAAAAAAACAGTTGATTTCCCCCCCCCCAAAAAAACTTTTGGCCCCCTGTATAATTTGGTTCTGGATCCGACCTTGACCATACCTAGTTGTGGGTATATAATTATATTATACATGTGGTAGATATACTCTGGGTTGATTTCAATTCCTTGTGAATCGCTCCACCATTGAATTTAACTGGTAATAGGTTTAGGCATGGGTTCAGCAGGGCATTTGTGATTGTTATCGTTTCATTTCATTGAGAAGCATTTCATAAAAAAACAGTTGATTGTTAATGAATTTATTTAAGTTAACCCTTTTATTAAATTGTTAAATTAATATAAATGCATAAAAATTGTGCAGCGTTTTGAAACGTTTAATGACATGGAATGACATGGAAATGTATGCTAATTAATTTACATTTGTGGGCTTGTGGGGCAAATATATAAACAGACTGGGGTTCCTTTGTGTTTGTTACTTCCAGAGCTGTCGTCGGTGAAGTTCAGCACCAAGGGAGCAGGCCAGTCTGCACCCCCTCGACCCTCCACCCTACCGCCCTCAGCCAGGGGCACGGTGAATGCCTCCCCCAGGCCGGCAAGCACTGGTTCATCTCCGTACCCTATGGGCACTTCTTCCAGCATAACATCAGCCCGGAGGCAGTCGGGCGGCACCAGGAATGGAGCTGCACTGCCCGCTCCTAGTCCTGGCCAGAGTGATGTCCGGCCACACTCTGCAAGCTTCTCGACTGAAGGTCTGTTGGCCGCCTGTGCTCTCTCTGTCTTGAACAATATTTTTCAGTCACGCTAACTTCCTTGATAGCTTGTAAGTAGGCAAGGTTGTAGCTGCATGTACACTTACTGGTACATCAGCCAATACCAGCCGGCTTTCCATATCGCCGGCCAGCACTTGTGAGGTCTTGTGTTGATGTTAAGAGGTCCTGACCGTAACACTGCTAGCTTATGCACTCTCATTGCAAAGTGCACTTGTTTATACATTTTAAAAGTTACATACTTTCCCTGACAAATTAGGGCACTGTCACTATGACTGTGGTGCGATTCCAGGAACACACTGTTCATGAGGGAGTTCTCTTTTAATAATGAACCAAGAATTTGGTCACAGATATCAGTTGCTGACAAATTGCACTTGTTGGCTTACCATAACAAGGCTCCGAATTACACCTAATTTATGACAGCAGAAGGCCCCAAATTCTCGAGAATATGACTGTTGAAATGTAGCCGTGACATCAAGGTTTCTGCCTTGGATGACTTTTCACTTCTTGTGAAAAGAAGATTTTCAGTTTTCAAAAATCTTCAAAAATTCATCATTTAAATTAATGGATGCTTACAGCCACATGAATTACTCTCTGGTCGCCACTCTTGCCTGACAGACAAATCAAAATCTAGCCCGAGTATTCCAGCCAGGCCTGCAGCCTTGAAAAAGAGCCCAGATTGTGCAGTGTTATATAACTTTCTTTTGTTCACGAACCTGGCACAGTGCACTGCTGACCAATACGAAGGGGTTAAAAGGGTTGATGACGGTCAGCAAAACACAGCAGTCTGGCTCGAGGCAGTCACTAGTATAGTTGATGTACTTAATCATTTTGACCTCATGTCACAGAGCATTGTCTTGAGTGTTTTGATTAGATTTTACTTTCACTATTTCCTCTCATTGCAGGCACCGAGAAGCGGGCATTGGATGAGCGATCAACTCACAGCACTGGTTCCTCTTCAGCATCAATAGAAGATGGTGAGAGGCAGTCTTAAAATCCCTGTTTCGTACAGTATTAAACGATCACTGTTTCATGCAAAACAAAAGCAGAAAGACAAATGCCATGACATCAAGACGTTCAGTGCGCATGTGCTGTACCTAAACCCAAGGGCAAATCTTGGGGGAAGGGAGGCCAACAGAAACTATAGACCCCCCCCTCGCCCAAAGAGGCCCGCCATTTTTTTCAATGATAGGGACAGTTTTTCTGGTTCATTCACTTTCTCCTCATGTCAAGTTTATACTTTAAACACCAAAACTGTAGCATCAAGTCACAGAAAGGCCATCTGGACCCCCCCCAAAAAAAACTTTTGGCCCCCTGTATAATTTGGTTCTGGATCCGACCTTGACCATACCTAGTTGTGGGTATATAATTATATTATACATGTGGTAGATATACTTGGGTTGATTTCAATTCCTTGTGAATCGCTCCACCATTGAATTTTTCTTTTTGGGGGGGTAGCTATTAAACGAGACTCCAAGCCCACACTCGCCGAGGTGTCCAAGCTCCAGGCTGAGGTGCAAGCGCTGAGAAGGAAACTGAAGGTAGGTTCTGTGTTATCACAAAGTCCCGGCTGCGGCTGGCTGCAATTGCACCTGCCTACGAGGGGAGTAGTCAAAGCCATTAGCCAGCGATATCCCCAGTCGCATCAATCGATGCAAGCCTTGGCCAGAGTATTTCAGACTCGGCCTAACATGTCATCCCCTGTTGGCTTAGGACCGCTCGGTGACAGAAACACAGCATAAGCTAATTGCAAAATACCTAAAACTGGCTGGTTATGTGAACAATCTACCCCTCGGAATGAGAGCAGCCAGCAGATTACCACAAATTATTGGGGGTTAGTGGTAACCAAATCTGCACGTGTAGTATTTCATGCTATGAACAGAATGAGAAATGAGTTCTTGCCCCCAAAAACCTGGAGCATTAATTAATGACACTGTACATCTCCAAGCAGACCCAATATTTTAAAATCTTGTACTTTAAGCAAAACAAGGACTTTCATCTATTTTGTCGTCACACTGATTCTCTGAAAGTGTATAGTGATTGTGTGTCACCAAGCTAGCTGACATTGTCAAGCTTAAGGCATGTGTGGTGCTGTATGTAATCCCATCACAAGACCAGTCAACAGCGTGCACAGTGGCAAAGGGATTCTTCAGTTGCAATTCATCTGAATTAGCTTGTGACTTGAATTCAGACTGGAGGTCTTGCGATGGTCTTGTGATGGTCTTGTGATGGTCTTGTGATGGTCTTGTGATGGTCTTGTCTTGTGGTGGTACCCTGATGGTCTCGTGAGGTGATGTAATGGTTTTGAGGTCTTGTGAGGTCTTACGATAAACTTGCGATGATCTTATGATGGTCTTGTGATATGGTCTTATGAGGACTTGTGATGTTGTTATGAGGCCTTCTGATGGTCTTTAGTAAGGGATCTCGGCAACACCATTAGACATGTGCAGTTACAATGCCTTATTGGCATATTGATCCTATTTGTATCTGTTGACCTTTTCTTCTACATATATGTCATGTTTCTCGGCAGAGTGTTGAACGAGGGAGATGGGAAGCCCTCCCTGTGGCTGACACAGTTACCCGTATCATCACTGGAGAGCCTTACTCCCTTGAGCCTTACAGGTCTCTACAGGACAAGCTGTCGCTCCTTGATGCCGCTATTGGCTACCATGATGGCAATGCTATCTTAACTGTACGTGAGATGTTTAACCATTTCGCACCGGTGGCGGTTATCAATGTTGATGATGCTGGGACGGGATAATTGTCATTTTTTTTCTGTTTTCAAATTTCATTTACTGGACACTTACCCCCACATGATGGGACTGTCTGGTTCTACTCTAATCTGACAGGCAAAACATCTATTGACCCTGGAGTATTTCAGCCAGGCCTGCCGCCTTGTAAAAAGAGCCCAGATTTTGCGATGTTACATAATTTTCTTTTGTTCACAAACCTGGCACAGTGCGCTGCTGACCTCTTTTCAATAGGGGCCAGATTATTAGCGTACAGCGGTGCTATGTGGCTCATTGCTGCAGTAGTGGAGTGCTTTTGTCCCCAGTGGTAAATCCCCCAAACCGTGATATACTGTTTCAAAACAAGGCTGGCTTTATCTCCACTATTGATGAGTGAAAAATGTTGGTAATGCCCAGCAGCCTGGTCTTTTGTTTTGAGAACGGTCTTTTGTCACAAGGCCCAGTTTCCTTTGTCCGAATACATGTCCAGCACCAGAAACCCCGGCGGCAAGTGGTTAATTTAGAACTTCACCCTGAGACGAAAGGTTTCCTCAAGTCATTCACTTCTCAGATTCTCTAACTGCAATACCGCAAGTTTGGCCATGAGCAGCCTTTGTTTAAAATAACATGTTCCCATGCTCTAGTCAAATGTAATTGTTGATGTTCAAATGGTCACGTAGATCGTTTGTGCAGTTCAATTACTCTTAAATGAAATTTACACCCACAGATAAAGTAGTCCCACTGTTAATTTTTCCCTTCCAGAAAAGTCAAGTCTTTTCAGAGCTGAGGGGTTAAACTGGCATTCGTTTACCTGAGTCACTGGCGACAAATGGGCATACTCGCTAATCCCCCATTTGCTCTGTACATGCATTAAAGTCCAAGTGACCTGTAGAGGCAGACAGTGTGTTGAATTATAACTTTTTTCACTCTACACAACTTGTAGCTAATACGACTCCGTTGCAGTGGCCTGAGTGTTGCAAAGTATGACGTTGGGGTGTGAAATATTGTGCAAATGGCTCTATGTCAGTCAATCCTTGAGGCATTTGACTAGACACGTAAAGTTAATTGCTGTATCAGTTTTTAAAAGGTGCAATGTTCAGCCAAAATAAAACCATCTACAAGTGGTTGAGGACAGGAGATTGGCAGTAGCAGATTTCCAAAGTGTTTTAACCCTGTCTTCTCAGTGTTCTGCAGAAGATTGTGCTGTAATTGTGAAATGTCTTGCCTTGTCTTTAGATCGTCATGTTCTTAAAAAGGACCCTATCCAAAGCAGTCTTCTGTGAGGAGATAAGGAGAAGACAGGTGGCTGCCAGCCAGTACATTGCCTTTATCAAGAAGCACAAAGAGAAGAGGGACATCGTGGCTAGCGAGATGGGGTAAGGTCATAGTGATGAAGCAGGTTACTTGTAATCACAGCGACGTGGCTAGCGAGATGGGGTAAGGTCACAGTGATGAAGCAGGTTACTTGTAATCACAGCGACGTGGCTAGCGAGATGGGGTAAGGTCACAGTGATGAAGCAGGTTACTTGTAATCACAGCGACAACGTGGCTAGCGAGATGGGGTGAGGTCACAGTGACGAAGCAGGTTACTTGTAACCATTCCAACTTGATTCCAGAATTTGCGGGGGTCCAATATGCTTCATCGAGTGAAGTTAAGACTTCATGCAGCAGCAACTCTGTGGGACCACCACTTGTCAGCCACCTGTCAATTGAACCTGTCACCCGGAATATGTATCATGCATACAAAGGTTTACCAGGGAAAATCGACTAGCGGTCGACGTAAGGGTTGTCACTGGCACTTGCCCAAAGCTTGATTAGGCACAGATTATCTTTGCTTGTATTGTATGTGAGTTTGTCATTGCACCACTGAACTGAGGAGGGAGAGGAGGAATTTGGTCTCCACCCACCCCCAACACTGACCAGGTGAACAGATAGAAATGGTCGCCTTGCTGTTAAAGTTATGTCTTAATGTATTCACTGATTTAACCCCCACCTTGGCATTTTTAGGAAGTGTATTTGCTGATTTTTGTACACTTAGGAAGCGTCTTTAAGAGACTTTTCAAAGGATAAGGACTGGGACAGTGTGGAGAATTTTTGGTATGTAACTGTGTTTCACATGTCATCGAATTGACCAGGGTAAAAACAGTGTTATATTTATTTACTTCAACAGAGAGCTGGGAAGGATAGAAGATGCCGCTGTAAGTTAAACCTGAAGTAATTTCTCTTTTTAGTTCAAGTTTAACAGAGGCATCAGTGCTAATGTGTCCCAAATATTTCCACAAATTGAATGACAAGCTCTCTTAATGTGGAGCTTTCCATGCTAGTTTGAGTTTGACCTGCAAAAGAAATTTCCAAACTAAATCAGGTACATGTTGTAGGAACTCACCAGTGGTTAATTTCCCAGTGGAACAAAAATGTGAAAGATTATAAAGACGAACAAAGAAATTGACTGGAGCGGGATTTGAACCTGCGGCCTCCAGGATACCGGTACCGGTGCTCTACCAACTGAGCTATCCAGCCCTATGTTGGTGGCTCTTCCCATTTGTCAGTATCTTTGTTTGGGGGTGCTATAGCCAGATGAAATTTAGTGCGAATTTAAAGATATTGAAAAGGATTAATCAGTTTTCTATCCTGTTTTTTAAACTGAATCTTCCCAGTGCCTTTGACCTTTATATTATGACTGACAAAGTTCCACATTATGTTCCATTCTTGTCCTCCTAATTAAAAAAAATGATTCACAGGGACAAGTCTGTTGGGTTTTTTTAAAAGAAAACCAAACGTGTAGCTTTGAACTTTTTCTTTGTAGTTGTGGCGATACAAAGAAGCAACTGAAAATCAAATACCTCATGGACAGCTGATGAACCTGAAGGAAGTGCACAGGTAGAAAGAGACTCAATTTTGGTTTGGTTTGCTGTATTTGCAAATGGAAGACGTCTAATGTTTCACACAAAGAAATTACACTGTAGTGCAGTTGATGACCTTACAGTGGGTAATGCTAAATTAACAGTGACTTGGGTGGTTTTTTGTGTGATCCTCTGTTCATCGTCTGTAAGAAGAACACCCAAGCCACTCTTTATTTATCATCATCATGATCTTCCCCCCCCCCCATCAGCTGCTGGGCAAGCATTTGCTGTTTTTCAGACATGTAAAGTTTGGTTAATGACACTGATCTTTGCAATTGTCCATTAAGTTTACTCACAATACACCAATCCCAATTAGAACTGAACATGCATCTGCATGTGTGGCTGATGATAGAGTCAACAATTGTCAACGATAAGACCCTATTGCTATCCTCAAACCATTTAGCTTTATTTACATGTATCTGTGGGCACTTTTGAGCAGTGCAGGGAGAACTAGGTGGGAGGGGTCGGGGGTACCGTTTATTAGTTGAGTAGACTTGAAATGGAGGTGCTAATGATTTTCACAGAGATGTCTTTTCTGTGCATTTCTTTCATAGATGGCACAAAGTAACAACCACAGAATCAGGGTTTTAATCATAATGGTGATTTTGTCTTTGGTCTTCACTCTTTATCTCAGCTTATGTTTTGACAAGTCGACTACCTTAGCCACAGAGGCAGAGTACATCAAAGAACATATTGATCTACTTAACAGACAGCTCCAAATTGAGGTAATGAAGTTGTTCTCAGGATTTCTGTTCTGGCTGGCTTGAAAACAACTTGTGCGTCGTATATGCCTTAAAAGACGTTATTCACTCAGTAATGAATTTTAATTGATATCGTTCATTTTTCAGGCCTGCAACTTTTCCTCGGACCAGCCGATTTCCTCATTTTCACTTCACACTCATGCCAATGCAAATAAGATCGGAATTTCCTCATTTTTGTCAAAGTCCCAAGTTGTATGCCTTTTGTTCATGCAGTTATCCAATTCCATGATACATTGCGAGTGTCAAAAAGGTTTTATTAAATTTATAAGTAAATAAGAATTGTTGTATTAAAATTGCATTTAAATTTAACCGTATTTTAAGATGAAGTGTATGTGGCTACTAATTCCTTCATCAAGTTTGTCACAGGCCAACTTTGGGAGTTGGTTTCAATTTGTGCATTCGATAATAAAGTTCTGATTTCCTTTGGCAGGCCGTAGATGAGAAAGCCCAAAGGGAGGGCAGGCAACCGTTCAAAGAATGTCCCCGTAAATCCAGCATCTTATTCAAGTCGGTTATCACCACCCTCTTCTATTGCTGTTACTATCATTATGGAGAACCAGAGGTTAGTTGGAGGGGTTGCTAGGAGGTGGTGGCTACAAATCACCCAGAATTTGTGTCTGCATTCGCTTTGGTTGTCCTGGTCTTTAATAGTTCCCTAAGCATTCCCACTCTCTTGTAGTTTGTGGTCATCTCTGACTGCATCTTGTTTCTGGCTACGCTCCTTGGTGAGCATAGCAACAGTGTTCCCAGGCTGACAACTACCAAGTAATCTGGAAAAACCTACATGAACACTCACTTTACTTGTATAAGTAATCAAAGTAGACTGATTTTTAAAATGGAAAGACTTGAACTCTGTCAACTTGGCAATTTATCCAACCAGTTCAAGGATGTTCTCTAACTCTAAACAATGGTGAATGGCAGCTAAATCTGTAAACAGCTTCAAGTTTCCTCGTGCTAATAAATGAGGATAACACCCTCCCATAAAGTAAGCACAGGCACTTTCCATGTGACAACAGACTGACCACAAGGACAGAGAAATACTCTGTTACCACTGTGTTCTGTCTTCTGTGGTGTTTTGAGTGAAAACAAGTACAGTAAACTCTGACTAAGTCGGCATTGTGTAACTCGTCATATCATCCAAGTCGGCCTTTTGACAAAAGTCCCCATCGTCTGTAATGCATTTCCATTGTAAATTTCATTTTTAAGTCGGGATTTATAAGTCGTCATTTCGTATAAGTTAGCATGTTCTTCTCGGTCCCTTTTCCACAAAACCACTAAAATTCCTTTGTGTAAGTTGGCATTTAAAAAAATTCATGCTTTGGTATCAGTTTCCTTCGCCGCGGTTGCCAAGAAGTGTCAAGTGACAAGTCCCACACTGCTTGACTGATGTCTGTTTATTAGCAGCACAGGCCGTGGTTGATAATCGGCCAGCATGAGTACATCAATACCAGTAACCCCTCTAGTGCTACATGCATGCGCTCTGTTCATTTTGGGGTCGCCTTACTGAACAAACCTAACCAATGCGTGTTTGGATGAGTGTATGTTTTCTGTACCGTAACTGTATCTCGTACATGTATGTACTGCACTGTCGAGTTCTGATGTGATATGCAAGTAGCTTGCCGTCCTTGCTTGGTCCTTAGGAGCACATGATCAGTTATTGAATTTGCAGCCCGTGAAGATAATAATCGAGAAGGAATTTGCTGGGATCGACCATGGAGGAGGTAGAAATAAACCAGGGTAAATCAAAGCCGTTGTATCAGAGCAAGGAATCATAATGTACATAAGCAATACATGTGTACATGTAAATCAGCAAAATGATGACTTACAGCACAAGTCAGCATTTGCGTAAGTCGTCATAATTTCTTGAAGTACCGAGAGTGCCGACTTCGCCCGAGTTTGCTGTACTATACACCAATGTGAATCAGCCACAGGTACATTGTGATTTACCACAAAAGCTGTCTCCACCAACAGAGCCCCTTCAGATAATGAAGATGCACTCTCATAGAAAGAAAGACACAAATACCTAACCCTATTCACTCAAGTTCCAGTCCCTGGGTGAGTGCACTCTTATCATGAATATTCAACCTGCTCTCTGTCTAAAGGTCAGCATGAGCAGTCCCCTGGCCCTGCGTCAGTTCCACAAGTTGACGGAGAAGCAGTACTTGTTTACGGCGTTGTTGTCTCGGATCAAGTTGAGGCGGTGGCTAGACCTCGACGCCTTGTTGACATCAAAGGTGGGGTTTTGCTCCTTGTATTACACATGCTGTTGTTAAGGCTTGAGGTGGGCATACAAACCAGGGCTCTCCAGCTGTAGAATGCAAAGCCAGGAGGAAATGAACCGAATTTTCCTTTTAAAAGAAAGTGGTGGCGTGGAACTGACCCCTCAGTCTCCAAACCTCTTGATGCTGGCAAAAGAGATCACAGGTGCTTTAATACCATAACAAACGTGTTCACACAGAGATAGCAGGGTTTTGTGCTCATTCTACTGAAAATAAGTTCCTTGGAACCAGCATATGAATGCCACATGTTCTGTATTTGTCCCATGTAAACACACACACTTCCTTAATTAAGGAACTTTAAACCTGTTAAGCAGAAGTTGACATATTTGTTCCGACACACGGAAGTCCCCTCAAAGTCGGGTAAAATTTAAATCAATGATAGGCACACTATGAAAACAGAGAGTTTTTGAAAACTGTAATTTCGAAAATAACTTCATAATAAACCTTATTTATTGACTTGATTTTACTGAAATTTGCAGTGCATTAGAATTGAAGTCATTTATGATTTTTTTCATAGAACTGGAGAGGGAAAACCATGATGAAGTCGGCCGTCAAGTTTGAACAAGTTGTGGAGATCCTTGTGGAACAAAATGCCCCACATGATGTAGGTCATTTAAAAGTCAAAAGAAATGTCACAGTACTGACAATCCGACAAGTTATAAGAGGTCCGTAAACAGAATATCAGTGTCAAGCCCCAGACCTCGATGATTTGAAAGGCTGTCATAAAATGTTGACTTCACAATACATTCTCCTTTAATGATGGTCATGATCCTTTGTGGACATGTTCAGCAGACATTAGCATCATGTGCTGGGCACGCACGACCAATTTCTGTCAGAATGTATGGTCGATGCACGCGCGACGGATGTCAAGATAAATTCATTCCCACCGACCTGTCTCTTCTGTGCTGATGAGGGGGTGCCTCAGGTCAGGGCGGATGGGAACAGTTTGAGACATTCATTGATATTTTGGATGCATTTCCACCACATGGTTGACATAGTCATTGACAAATAAAAGTGTGAGAAGCAGAGTTTGAAAAGCATATTTTCACTGAAGCCAAGTAAATATTTCATTTTTGCGACAATAACCAGGCTCTGGACAAATACTTGAAGCTCATTGAGGACCCGGAGTCACGCATCTGTTTGGCGACGAAGCTCGATCGGCACGCAGTGGTGGTAGACGCCCTGATCCAGGTGAAGGATCGCCAACGACTGCTCAAGTACCAGAGCAAAGTGCCACAGGGTACTCCGGAAGCTAGACGCATCGAGGACATCATGAGAAACTCGGTGAGCAATTGACCACTGGCGCCAACCCCCCCCCCCAAGTCTCGTACACAGCCTGTGTACAAGCAACAGTTAATTTACTTTTTCAATACCTTAAAAAAATGTGTGCATCTCCTAATCCCCCTCAGAACTTCCACCATAACAAGTGCTACTGCATTGGCAACCCGTATGTGATGTCAAAAAGACACATTTGAGCAGGATGGAGCGTCCTTAAGTACCAGAGTTTCTAGTCTGTACAAGATCCCCCTCCACAACCTGCGAGGGATTGAGGTGACCCTTGAACACTGACGACATTGTGTGCTCAGTACACTTTTGCAAAGACACCATAAAATTGTGGAATGAATTCTCACGTACTGTGTCGCGTGTACACGAACAAGCAGAGAGATCTGTGCTTGGTGAGAAAGATTTATCATTCATTGGTCAAAGCACCACGTACCTGCATATGTTGGGTATGAAGTTTGTGAGGTGAATCTAAAACCACAGAGTTCACAAAAGAAATTCATAAAACATGGACTTTAAAAGAGCACATGAAAGCAACAATTGCTCATCTTTTACTGGCACTGTACCTGACCTTAAATCCAGCATAAAGTTGGTGAAAGGAGACATCTGAAATTTTATATTTGTGCTGTCTTCTGTTCGTATTTCAGACATTCAAGTGGAAGAATTGATCTGTACTGGCATCACTGAAGAACATTCCAGTTTACTTTATGAACAACTTATCTCTATGGATATTTTTAACATGTGGGTAGTCTGTTGAAAGGTCAAGGGTCATCTGGAATTGTCAGTATTCGACGCCAAGAAGTGCTACAAAGTTACCTTTGTATTTTTAAGGTGATCTTTGAGCTTTTTGGGTGTTGAACTGAACACTTAATTATTCCCTGTGCAAGTCTAGTTGTCCTCAAAGGATTGGATGAAAAATGGTGTGATAACAAAGTGATTTAACATTTAATGACAGGATTTTGCTGTAAAGAGCCACTAAAATCACACCCAAGGTATCTTGCTACACAAATGTCAGATTTCTAGTAAGAGCAAGATTTAAGGCATGAAGTTCAAATGCAGTCGGCAGTCTGACTATACATTGACATGCCAACTCTTACCCAGAGCCCTCCTGAAATCCTTGTACATGTTCTTGGTGTCGTTATACCACTGTGTTGAATTCTGTGCAAAAGTTTCCCAGCTGAAGTATCTCAGCTTCCGCACAAACAGTGAATGTACTGCACAGAAAGTCATATGAAGCCTTAGTACTGTGTGTTGTCTCAACAGTGGATCTGTCCTTTTTTTCCCTCCATATTGTATGTTTGCATTGATTTTTACACAATCCAAAACGCCGAGGTCTATTGTAAATCATATCAAGTTCTGTTTTGTAGCTCTATGGTTAGATTGAGCACGGTTTAGGTTAACCTTCTGTGGATATCTGAAGTTCCTGTATTTGAATTAATTTTAGCAGATTCTTGCCCTGAGGAGTCTTATTTTTGATAGAGTGGGCCACATTTATGTGATGTTTTGAAATCTGTGCCACAGGTCAGTGTTCAAGAGAATTGGTAATTGAATCATGTCCGTTGAGGTTCAATGACCTGTCAAAAGTGGGACATGAAGTGATGGGTACATGTCTTCGACACGCATACAATTGGAAAAATTGTGTTTGTGTACTTCAGATAAACAGAGAGAACAGATGGGAAAATTACTGACAAGAACTATCAATCATGAGTATTAAAGATTAAAAATTCATTTTGATACATAATTTCTTATTGGTGAAAATTTATTTAATATTCAAAATAAGTTTTAATAAATTTTAAATGCAGGAAAACCTGTTTGTTTCTGGTTTGTTCATGTGATAGTTTGTCTACAGAATACATTTTAAAATGAGATAGCTCATCCTTGTACACAAATGTTAGGATTCTACTGAAACGGGCATCTTACTTGAAAACGTAGAGAACCCCCAAAATAATGTTACAAATGAGGAAACAATATTCGTTTTAACACAAGCCAAAACTTAACTTAGTATACATGATGTAGGAAGGAAACATGCAAACAATGATTTGAATTTCTATAAAATGTGAACAGTTTTGGAAAACTTGGAAGCTTGAAGTTTAAGGAAGAATAAAGCTGATGTTTATAAAATGTTTACTTTTCACAGTTTTGTTAAACTCTACATAGGGCGACAGTAATCTTTTGAAAAATCTGGTATTTATATTTTGAAATATCCAAATGAGTTGTATTTTTTATGTTCAAAGATGAAAAACACATCCAACTGACTGAGAAAATTAACTTTTTTCATGAGCAAGATTTAACATCAGTAACATTTAAGTAGTCATATCCCTTGTTGGACAGAGATTGCCTTTTCTCTCCTTTTCCCCACTCTTCCAACATAAACATCATTCAAAACTTTACAGCAAAAATCTGCAGCTTCTGAAGTCATGACCACTGATACTTGTTAACAGTGCACAAAACTCTATTCCAATGGTGCATTCAACAAAGAAGAAAAACACGCCCCACAGGGCTGGTGAGATTTTGCGGTCACAGACCGGTCATCATGCATCAGTTACCACCACAGCAAGAGTTGATTAACCGCAACAGTTCCAAATCCTCCGATTTCATGATTTTACATACATCCTATGGGGTAAGGGTTAATGGGTGGACCAAGCCAAAAATGATGGTCGTCATTGACCCTCGTTGTAATAGGGCCTGATCAACTGACATCAATGTACCACATGACCACACAGTTACGCTAAGATTGGCCAAAAGTGCAGCAAGTTGAGTGTTTGCTAAGTAACCATACATTGTACATCTAATGTATAGACATTGAAGCTTCCTTTCATGTGAAATTACCATGAATTCTCCATCACATGGCATATTGCTCGCCATCTGTGCCTGTCCATTTGTCTTTTCAGTGATGATCCAGTACTTGGTGGTGACTCCGCATTTCTCATACTTTTTTCCATTAATTAAACACAGAAGGCTTACCCACCAACTAAATACTATGCATGGCACTGTGGTCTTCGCATCTGACAAGAGGTGAATTCCAGACAAGTATTTGTCAACCACTGGTCCATTTTTGCCTGGTACTGGGATTACATTCTGTGCACATCAGTTTCCAGAGATATCAAGCAGTGGTCACCGACTGGTGGTCCTCCACATTTGACCAATGGGGGGGAGAGCACCCTGAAAGATTAATTGTGGAGAGTACTCCTAGTGTGCCACGCCCCCTCGGTATCTACTTCCAAGCATGGTGGCATCCCCGCAAAGAGGGGTCTTCTCCAGTATGGCCTGAGCTTCCTCCAGTGGGATGTGAAGCACGTCCATGCAGATCTTGGTTAAGGCTTCGGGTAAGAGCACTTTGCTGACATAGTCAAAATACTAAGAAACGGATCGGTTAAAAAGAAAAAAAATGAGAACTAGAAATACTGTATGTGACCTGTTAACACAAAATGAGCTTAAGGGTGGACTTCTGAAGAGTTCAGGATTAGGCAGAACAAAAGCTTTACAATAGTATACTGAGTACCAAAGTGTGGTGTCGTTTAGAACCAGGAAGTGCTGTACGAATAGAGTATGTACATTTGTTTCATTTGCTGGTTCTCGTATCAATACCTTTTAAACACATATTTACGGTACTCTTTAACAAAGGTACAGAGTTCAGTAACGGAAATATTGAAAGAAAACTGTCAATCCCCTATTATATTAAAGCCAGTGGCTAGTTCTGCAAGACACAGTGCACAGACCTACCTTGTTGTGGCTAGAACAGTAGACTTTGACGAGCTCATTCATGACGCAGTCCACTTGATCCTCTGTGTATGGGCCATACCAAGCCTCATACGCCAAATTGGCTGGTATAATGAATTGAAACTGGACCAGCATTAATACGAGATCAATGTTTTTACCAATCTGTTTGTGGTATAGTGCAGACCCTTCTCGGACGCCAAAGTTGAAGACACTATCCTGTCATGAATTTCCTTTCTATAAGTTGTAGTTGGTTATTAACCAATATATGTTATAGATATAGTCAAATTACATTACACAGAAACTGTAAGTGCTTACCTCGGGTGGAACCGCCTTGTTTATAATTGGCATGCCTCTTGCAAGGCCGCTGGAAAAGAAAACAGAAGTCGACATGAGAGTGGCTACTTTATCACAGGAAAAGGTTACTTGTTGCGGTAATGACACTTTGTACAATGAACATGATGAACAGTGACACGTACATGTAATCAAATGTAACTATTTTATGTAAAGCACTGTTGTCTGGTAAGAAATAACATGATATGGTACTAGCGTGTGGGACAAAATTGGATCTATCAAGCAGATAGTGACATTCATGTCCTTGGGCTGGACAATTTACAAACATTGCTTCTGCCATCCTCGAAGTGTGAAAATAAACTTCTGGTGGCAGACAAGCGTGGTTTGGTACGGTTGGGGGTTGCCAGAGTCAAAATCCGAACTGCTTAAATTAACAATGCAGCACAGTAACAGTGAAAAATCTTTTTTATTTCACCTTTCCAATGAAGATTTCCTTGAGGTATCTTCTGTTCTTTCTCGTGAGTCGCTGCAAATGAAGGCAGCTGAGTTTACTCACACCTCTAAGGGAAGCACAAAAATCAAAACAGGATGTGATATGGTCATTAACAGAGGGTTCAATTTATTTTAAGTAGAATTTGAACTGACTGATATCCACAAGACCCTTCAACAACATGAAGTAACATGACACAGAAAGGACTTACTCGGCATCTGAAATGATATTGCTGATGCAATCCACATCGCCATCCGAAAATACCTCATCTGCACACAGGTCTACCATTTCATCCCCAAGATCCACCTTCTCAATATCTGTTGCCTTGTGGCTCCTAGCAACGGCATCCTCGTCACTGGGTACCACATCCAATTCCTGATTCCCATTTTTCAAGTTACTCTGACCTCCTCTATTTTGCATAGCTTTTAAATTGACAATACTTGCTCCTCTCACAGCATCGCCAGCTCTCTGTCTTTTTGTCGGTTCCCAAGTTTTTGTGTCTGAAGCAGAAGAGGCTGTGTGTGATGGTGCTTGTCGACTGCATGTGACCTCCTTCTGATCCCAGTCCCTGTTCCTTTTCCTCTTCTTGGCTTGCTCCTGGATGCTGGCACCAGTTGTCAAGTTGGAATGTCTTCCCGACCTCAAGATCTCATCGTCCTTGGTGGTGTGTTCCTCGGAAGCTTTAGGATCACAGTCTGCCTTCTCTTCAACAAGCTGGATTCCATCACTTCCCAAATCTTCTATTTCGGTCACATGTTCTCCTGTGGATCTAAGTGGGCCCTGGTGGCATGCCCGTCTTGAAGCTGCCTCAGACAGGGTATCACGCCCTCTCTCTGTGGTGGGTTGCTCCTTCTTTGTAGGCATGGCATTTATCTGTCGGTTCACACTTTGTGAGAAAAAAAGTTAGAGTTAACTTATTTTTATTACTAGAGGAGTGTTTTTTATTTAATCTATACAGTGGACGAGTGAAATAAAATACAGTGCAGAACTTCAGGAAAAACATGTCTGGATATTGTATTTTTTAACGGAAAATGAGCTAGGAGGCAAATTAATGATGCTACAGCAAATCTTTCTATTTAAAAAGATCTCAACTTTGGCTCAATAGGAATCAACTGCTTTGTGATGTGTTTGCGTGGAGTACGAACTATCCTCAAAAGATGCTAGGCCTTACATCACTAGCAGCAAAATTCCACATGGGTCCCTATTAAAGAAGAGTCTTTAGTCACACAATGTACTCATGGAAGTAAGCTAAAATTCAGTACCGTCCTATGAAAGGTAAAAATGTCCAGCATAGACCATTCAGCTGTAATTACATGTAGCAGGGATTCTCAGCTCAAAGCAGCACCTAGAAAATTTGCCCCTCTAAAGCAGAAAAACAATCCATGGAGGAACAAACTCACATTCTCTTCAATTTGTTCCTCTTCTTACGTGCCGACGTTGTCACCTTGGCCATGCTCCTTGCGCCTGCATGAGCAGCCGACGGGAAGTAATCGCTCATCCCCACTGCAGTGGGGTCAGCATCCCTGTACACGGTGTGCAGCAGGTGCGCAGTGGTTTGGAGCACGGTGGAGGGATGGTGCTCACAGACATAGACATGAAGCTTCTCCGGGAAGAGTATGACGGTCTCAAACTTAGGCTCTAGATAAAATGGCGTACAGGCATTTAAGTTATGTAGGGATCCACTATTCAACTGAGGCATTTGGTCAACCATGTAGTTGATATAATCTTCCTGAGCTCTAAACAAGCTGTGGACTTTGTGTGCTTTGTGTACAATGTATTAAAGCATTTCAAAGTCAAGGAACTCTATACATGTACAATGCATTTCAATGCATTTTAGGCATTTCAGTATCAACGGGCTCAACATGCCCTTAACACCACACTATCCTTGCTCACTTGACCTAGAAACATTTCAATGCACCATCTCAACTGCCCAGGGTGTGTACAACATGGGTGCAACCATTTCACCTGCTACCATATTTATCACCCACAAAAACCCTCTCTGCACTCACAGGTACCATTTACACTCCTGGGTAAGAGAGACAAGTGAGAGTAACAAGGTGGTGTGGCCAAGGCCATATCCTAAGTTCTACGGATGGATTCATGAACCCATTGCTGGAGTTCATTATGAAGGTAGCCATGTGACCGTAATGCATTCATTTCATAGTTGTTTGTGAACCAGTGAAGTGCAGTTGCCAGCAAAGGGTGTCAATTGTTAGAAAAATTGCGCCCTCTCTTGGTTCCGCTCGCGGCGTATATCTGGTATCCCCAACAACTTCTGTGTCCTTTTTCTTGGATTGTGAATTAATGGTGAAAGCTGGATTTACTCATTAAAAGGCATCGTTGGGTGACTGGCTTCTTGGTGAACTTGAAACCAATCTTCACCGTGTTACCTGCAAAAGAAGAAACAACTACACAGTAAATTCTGGAAAATAACTTAAACAAATTGAAGGAGTGTTTATAGTGAGAGAAAAATGGGTATACCTTTTTAGCTTTCTTAACTTGATAAAAACAAAGGAATGTCCCAAGAAGGTAAGTATATAAAACAAATGTGGGCATGTGACAGCATGCGTTCTTTTTGGGGGGAGAGGTCAGGGGTGAGGTTTGTTCAACATTTATTTTGAGGGGGAGAGCGAGGAAGGGGAAGCTGAGATGGGGTAGGGTTGGCAGGCTTCCTTGACCCTTTGCTGGATGAGCGCCTACCCTGGAGCATCTTGGGCTGCTCTGCCTTGGGATTTCCTTCCTTCTCATCCCTCTTTACCCTCGCTGCTCGCTTCTTGGCATAAAAATCACCGATCCTGTCAGCAACTACATCTTGCAATAAGGCAACCGTTTCCTAAAAGTTAAAGAACAGAAAAATAGTGGTTCCCCTTTTTTAAGGACAGCACAGATTTGGTTGCAGATCCAATGGGGGGGGCACCTCTATGTACTTGGATGAGCCTGGGTGTGTGTGCAGACTCACTAGGAATCACTGAAGCATGCAGACGAGTACAGACGTCACATGACACTGCATGTATATGCAGCATTTAAGTGTCCACTGTGCTTCAACACTGGGAATCGCTGCGTGTTTCGACATCCTCTGTGGTTGAAACTTCCCCCTCTGTTGAGTTTCTGTATCATTTATCTTATTCAAAGAATATTACAAAAGCAGATTACTACTGCAAATCACAAAAACTGTTAATGTATTGAAACTGTCTGCAAATAAACGTACAAATCTGCAATGAATGTAAAACAAAAAATACATGTATGTATGGAATCTGTACTCTAGCATCTGTCCTAACTACAGTGGGGTTGGGTCTCGAGATGGGCAAAAATATACACAGGTAGTCTAGATTGTCCCAACTACATGTATGGTACACATTTGGGCCAGCCAACTACATGTATGGTACCGTGTGCCAGTGTGTGCCATAGCTTATGCCTTTGTCACTCCAAACATACATATTGTCATTCTGTACATTGATTGATACAAGTACTATCTAGTTTTTGTTTTAGTCATGGACAAAACACCAGTTTGATATGGTTTTGATGCATGATGTTGAATGCGGGCCACACAAAATACAGTAGAAGGTTGACGGCATTTCCTGTGGAAATTTGTTGACTAGTTGGTCTAGCCTGCTGTCCCGAACTACGGTTCGAACAGATGCTATAGTCCGGACATAACATTCCTGCCCACTTCCTTTTTTTCTTCCATTCTTCCCTAAAGAGCTTTAAAATTTTTTCTCTGTTTTACCTGTCGGTGTCTGTCTTGAAACCAGCCGTCATTTCTCTCCTCATTTAGGATGCACAGGTCGAGGGAGACCAACATCTTCCCTAACTGGTCATTTAAAAAGAAAAGAAGGTTGAATAAAGTGGTTGAGTTTGATAACAAAAAAGCATCCCTGTCTGTTAACTGAAGGAGTTCCACATATGGATGCCACTTGATGACAAACACTGCACAAACCCAATGAGATGGGTCTTAAAAATTGTAAGTATTGTAACATCAATTGCCTCTATGCACGTAGGTCTTTGTAACGCTGACAAATGACACTGCAAAGTCTTCTACTTGGGTTTTTGTGGCTGTTGGCCATTTATTATCACACCGTCTGTCCTGTCTGGCATTAACCCCGAAACACACAAAAACAATGAGACTCAGAAAACGCTAGGGTGCTGATGTTGCGGCAACCGGTCTCCCGCGCTGACCAGCAGGGGCCTACTACATGGCTCTACCCTGGATTTGTAGCACTTCTGTAGCAAACCCACTGAACATCCAGCACCAACCCTACAGTATAGCTATAGCTATGAGAATACCTCAATTACTCCAGGCTGATTTGGACTTCTTAGGCAATGCCGTTGCTTTAATAAGTAAAGGTAGGGAAACATAGATGATAATTCCCTATGTGGAATTCTCACCCAAGGAATCTTTCCCACTGTACATGTACAATAATCCAAGCAATTATAACAGTGGCATCTATGTGTGGGGAATTGTTGTAGCCCTATGAAAATTTCGGGGAAAACCCACGCACTCAGATAGGGACTGAAAACGCAATCCACACGTGGACCGAGCCGGATTCGAACCCAGACCGCAGAGGTGGAAGGCAAGGAAAGAAACACTACGCTAACCTGACTATCAAAACCCTAGGATTAGGAAGCCAACGGCATCTCTATGAATGCTAACTCCCTAGCCACTGTTGTCAGGAACCTTCGCAAATATCCAGTACAAAGTTGTAACAAACCATTGGGCTGACACATATTGACACTTTACTCAAACTTTTAGGAATGATTGACACTGATCATGGAGGATCAAGACCCACTCAGTGGTGGCTGGGCAGAACCTATTGTGAAATCCTCAAAACCTCTCCTGCTAGACTTTCCAGGATATGTGAGGGTCAAATCTTTAACTATTAGGCTCATTCCACGTGACATCGTGCGAATATGGACAACTTGTCCCTTGTCGTCTATACTTTTGTCCTTCCAAACCCGTACATGTACGTACATGTACGTAGGCTGGGCTGGGTTTTCGGCACACGAGAACAGTTTACCATGTTTACGTGTACGCGAATGCGCGTTGCCCACTTTTGACAGCGACTCTTGACAATCGAAATTTAACGTACCTTCAAATAATGGTGCATTTCTCGACCATGCCGGTTCATTGCGATTGTAATTTTTCATCTGACATTCATCAAAATTCACATTGCCATGCCGTCTTCCCAGTTCATCGAAAACTTAGACTAAATTAAGGCCGTGTCCAAAACGGGCTTCCAGAGCTATGGCTGGGTCTATTGTCTGTGCGTCTCCACGCATTTCCAATGGAGTAAAGTCCTAGCTCTAGACAAGAGATTCGGATGCAGCCTTAGTTTAGCGCGGTCTTGTATATACGGTCTTGTCGCATGGTCGGTGAAGATAACAATAGCCAGGCAAAAATCTTTCTGCACTCATGCTCAATCATATATTTGGTGTGAGAGCAAGGTACCAGACCGCCTGTTACATCATTGAAGAGCTAGGAAGACACCCAGTAGGTCCACATGAATATGATGAAGTGTGGCTTTCAAATCAGAAAAAATTGTTCATTTGTTTGTTTATTTTCTTCCTTTTGTGCCATGAATTCCTGTGTGCTTGATTAAACTGTTGTTTAAACTGCAGTGGTGAGTTGTCAGGGCAAGCGTTTGGAAACAATGTTTCATGGTTTCATTCACCCCGTGGGGCATTGGACTGTACTAGTCAATCATCAGTGTGAAGGGTGAGATACACTGTGGATCAACCGCACTGTCCTGCGAGGTTTCAGCCGTGCAAACCCTCTGTAATGCAGTATTTAACTTTTCTACCTTCAATGATCAAAAATTCGGATATAAATATCAAATTTCCAACATGCCCTCAACTCTTTGTTGTGTGTTAATGTTAATCATTGAAGTACAGAGCAGAAGTAACTTGTCGGTGCTTGTTGGCCTTTTCCATGGTTGTATATGTATTAATACATGTATTTTGGTCTGTTCCAGCAGAGCATCATCTGTCATCCTTCATGATGAACTTCTTCAGTCGCTACAGGGTTCTCCTAGTTGGTATCGTCGGTCTTGCAGCAATTCACACCGGCTGGTACTACATAGCCAGAAGTCCAACCTTCAACCCCACCCGTAAGACCTTGGACATCACTCCTGCTTACTACAAGAGCAAGCGAGCCAAACAGGCTAGCCAGGCAGCTGCAGACAAGACCAAATAGCATTGAATCCAAGGTGTGTATATGCTAGGCGTGATCAGTCAAACTGGGCATTCACCCAATCGCTCTGTGGGATCGGTTAATATCCTTTATCATGAAATCTTTCCATTCTTGTTTTGAAACAATCTTCCACATACGTAAATTAGAAAGGCAAGACATATGTGCAGATATGATTTAACGTGTATAGAATCGAGGCCAAGTGAAAGCAAAACTTTTTCTCATCTGGGATTTTTTTGATAATGGGAAGAAGCAGACCTTTCATGTTTTTACAATGGCAGATTTTTTCCAGAACGGTACATGTTGATGGCTTTTCTTGAAGTACATTTGTGTTGGAGCCCATTTGAGTTAAACAGGTGTCTTCCGTTTTGCATACTCTATAGTGCGTGACTGTTTGGTATTGCAATGTGAACCCTGTTGCACCTGACCTTTGTTATTTGACATGGAAATATCACCGGAATTGATTTCAAACAAATTACTGTTCGTTTGGCTGGTAATGGCATTAATTCATCACTCTTGGAAATTAAAAAATGTGTTCTGAACTCACAAAATCATATGTCAGATGTGACAGGGACGCGAAAAAAAATGGACCTCTAATTTTGGAAAAATTACCCATTTACAAGTTGTGCAGTCGCAAGGCTAGTCACAAACTATTCCAACAATCAGTGACAAAAAGGCATTCTTTTGTCATGATTCACCAGTTACTTGCAAAGTTGTTAAAAATAAAAATGGGCCTACAGTAATCATGCACGCACTTTTTTTCTTTTTTCCCCCTAGGTTTTTGTACATACTCGTTGCAAGCATGAAACTTCCAGTCTGGGTGGCCAAGCATAAGCTTCTGTCAGTCGGTATAGCCTTACTGACCGTACATTTGACTATCTACACTGTCCAGAAGATGGCCCACAGCACCTCCAAGACCAGACGGAGCCTCACCGGACCCCCACCATCAGCTGACAAGGAGGACTAGGCTTCTAATCGCTGGTAGCCAAGGTGAAAGCACGCTGCAGTATGTGGAATGAACCAGGTCGCAGAATAGATTTCCAACCTTGTACCAGAAGAATGCCTTCTCCGGTTTTCTTCAGCAGGCTAATAAATCTCTCTTGCATTGCCTACTGCTGTTTTGGGTTGGCAATGATTGTAGGAATTTCACCCTTGGCTGATATCAAGTTTAGCCTCAAAATGGACACCGATCCCATTACTTTGAAAACTTTCCATTTGGAATTTCCATTTGGTTTTTGGTAGGATTTAATGTTTGATGTTCTAATAGCTGGGTGAACATTTAACACTCCGAACTGTTTATTTTGCTTTAGTACTAATGGCCACCCATGGTTTATCAGCCTCTGGTAGGCAAAAATATAGATGTGAAGTAGAAACAGAGGTGTCTATAAGACATAAACATATATTTTGGCCTATTTTTCTCAGTGCAATCACCTTATCCACTGAGATGGTTGAAGTTGAATTTGGTTGTTTTTTATCTCCACTGAAAGAAATCAGTGTGTTATGCTGAGCTTTAAGTTGTTTTGTACAAACTGAACAGTCACCGAGTTGGGACTCTAAGGCTGTTTGGCCTTGGGACAGTTGGTCCATAAGTCAAAGGTGGTGGTCATTACAGAGACTGGAATAGAAACAGGTGCTGCTGGATACAGGTATGTCAAATGTATTTCTGATTTCTGTCTTTTCTGTTTTCAGATGTCCGCCATGTCACCAGGTGCCCCTCACACTCAGCGGCAAGAGACATCCAAAATTGTCCAGAGGCTGTCAAACACTGATGTCACTGAAGCCCTGGAGACCTTCCGGTTTCTGATCCTATCATGTTACGGCCCCGCTGGCCACCTTAAGACAATCCAAAATTCTTGCGGTGGTCCAGTAACCGTTACTTCATCCTCGTCAGTGCTTGTCAGGCAGCTGTGCCCATCCAGGCCCATCCTGCGCCTCATGTCAGCTGCCGTGGAGGGCCACCTAGCTTCCTGCAGTGACGGTGGCCTGTTCTGTGCCCTGCTGATGACGAACCTAGTCCAGACCTGCAGCAGTTTGCACTTGCATCCCATCCTGTGCATTGGTGTCAATGAGCTCATGCTGAAGGCATGCACAGATTACCTGAACTCGGATGACTCCTGCCGAGTCAGTGTTGATGTTGGCGACTTGCCGACGATGCTGAGCCTCGTTCGCTCTGTCATCTGTACAAAGCCCACTTGCGGGCTGTTTCCACGAGAGACTGACCTAATCTGTAACCTGAGCCTTCAGGCTTTCCTACAAGGTCTGTGGCCCTCAGGGCCGACTCTCAGCATACCAACAGTGAGGTACATCCTCATTGAAGGCAAGACCCCTATGAATTCTTGCATCATGGAAGGAGTCCTCCTCGAATCACCCCAGATTCCTCTGTACGCCAGGAGACCGTTTACCCCTCCTGAGTTAGTAGATGGCAGCATCAGGGTTGCTGTCTTCAACACCTCCCTTGCCGGAGGTGGAGAAGGATTCCCAGACATCCACCTGGAGGCAAGACAAGGTGTGACCGTTGACGCAGCCACAAGGGACTGCCTCCTAGCCCTTGGTAGCTGCCTTGTCCAGCAAAGGGTTGGACTGTTGGCTTGTCAGAAGGTCATCCATCCATGCCTGAAACACTTCCTGAGAAGCCATGGTGTCCTGACAATAGACAGGCTGTCTCTTGTTCACATTGATACAGTCCAGATGGTCACGGGTACGGATAGTGTTTTCATAAATTTTATTTTCTCATCAGAATGGTTTGGAAATAGGTATTGCATTTATAATTGTGCCATCAGCTTTGACTGACAGTACAGGTTTGTGCTCATTTTGTTGAAAATTCTCATGATGTGCCCTTCACTGATTCTCATGAGCAGTGCCACACTCCATTATGCATGTTTTAAACTAAAGTATATCATATGCCAAAAACGGAGTATTTTTTTCTAAAGTATATAATATGCCTAAAACAGAGCCTTTCTATGAAATAAGAAAAGCATCCATGTCCACTATCTGTCAGGCAGATGTACAGAAATCAGGGCTACAGTCCTATAACAAGTCTTTTTACCTGTCTGGCCATAGGTCCTGTCACAGGACCAGCCAGAAATAAGGGGTTAACACTGACAAAGCTTTGTCACAAATTCATTTGCTTGTGACTCAACTTGACATTACACGACTTGCAATTAACTGACTAGGAGGTGATGGATATTGGACTGCAAAAACTTTAGGTATTCAGGGTTGTACCAGAACATGGGGGTATAATTTGATGGGCAGAATAACCCAAACTCTTTTAGGCTTTTGTGCCAGTGCAACCAACCTTGCAAATTTCTCAAAAAGTCATCACTATGCACGAACTTAAATGGCATATTCCGTGCACGTCCATTGCACCTCAAGTCCTATATATTGGATACATGTAACTGTTGGAGAAATCGGTAACAAGGAAACCAAGCGATTGAGTTGTGAAGGATGTGGGAAGCCTCAGTCGACAGTCTCAGTGAGTCTCTCAATATATCCACCTTTCCCTCTCTCCTTTACTTCCTTGTGTCTGGCCGGTACTTCCCACTGATTTCTATATACAGAATAGATAGTATGTGCTCATATCTCCGTGCCCTATCAAATGAAGTCTCCATGGTTCATTTTTTTGGGCCTCCAAAGATGGCCGCCTCCACACTATGAAATATTAAGTACATGAGTGTATTTGGACCTCCAAAAGTGGCACATTGGACATCCATCCTTCAGTCATAACAGTCTCGACATTCTATCCAGTCAGTGGATGGATAGACCAGTGTGGTACTACCCTTCTATCATCACCAGAAAACACCACCTTCACCCCAGATTCTTTTCTCTTGAATCTTATTGTTTTCATCCTCTCAGGAGCCCAACTCCTGGGAGCTGTACAGCCCACCATTCCAGAAGATGCCCTAGGCCGTGTGGAGGAGGTGAGCCACTGCGTCATGTATGGCAAGAGTTACATCCGTCTGCTGAACCGTAGCCGTCCAGTCTGCAGCTTTGTCCTGTGCAATCGGACAGAATCAGCCCTAGAGGAGCTGAAGGTTGGTAAAGACACTGCCATTATGAATGACATTCCTTGCCAGGTATTACACCTGTGCTCGCAATGCTTTTTGATGTCAATATTTTTCCCACAATATCGCCGCAATGACAATACAAATTTTTAGCAAATTGTACACAAACAGAACAATATATCATGGAAAAGTTACCTGTACCAACTACTCTCGTGAACTGATCTTTTGTTTGTTCTTCAGCATTTCATAATTAAATGTCAGTAAATAATTTTGGTTGCCTTGAATATCGGTCACCATTATTATCAATTGTATCAGCACTGGGAACTGCCCAGAAACTTCATGAACATCAGATGCCATACCGGTAGATACACAGGGTTGGGATTTTGTATGAATCAGTAGTGGGCAGCTATCGAAGAGAAGTCTGACCATTGCAGTACATGTAAATGAGCTTTTTCAACTCTGACTTCAACTACATATACAGTACACATGCATCTTAAATTTAAATCGACAACTTATTAGGGTGACAGCGAAATAAATATTCATCTTTTAATGCCCTGAACCAGGTGCACAAACATGTGTAGGTCATGTGCATATGTACATAAATAAAGTATCATCAATTTTTTTTTGAAGAAAAATCACCATCACTGTTCACCATTATATCACACACGCCCATGTAAGTGCGTGGAGTGTGCATTCGATTGACGAGTTTTTATAGAAATAATAATTACGCAATTTATAGCGTGTTCTAATATTCACAGGATTCAATGTTTGTCTGTTGACAACTACAGAAGACAATTATAAAAGAGAGAGACCATTATAAATATTCAAGAGAACCAATTTGAAGGCTCCGTGGAAAGGTCACAGTTGTTACCACTTTTACCCTGCGTGTGATCACTTCCACCACCTGTTCACCTCTAAAGGTTCCATAAGAATTCATAAATTGCAGTAGAGTCTTCTGTACTGAACATCGTGACAATCTCTCCTCCAGACTGCTTGCAGAGCAGCCCACCATGTTCTGTCTTTGACGCTGTCCCGTCCCTTGGCCCTGCCCGGAGCCGGCTGCTTTGAAGCCTGTCTTGCCGCTCATCTCAAACAACAGGTAATGTCCACTTATCCACCTGTAGGCAGATGTACATTTGATTGCAGTGGTACAGGTGGCTAACCGTCCCTCCCCCCAACTGCCCAGTGATAAGAAGCTGTTATCAAAGGCTTGACTGTTTTCACATGCATTTGGATGGAAGAGCAATGAAGTTCTCAGTCTGTAGGTGATTTTATTTTCCACAGAACCCACTCTTATCCCCCACCCTACTAAAAACTTGGCCTTCAATTAAGTGGCAACCTCATTTCCAAAGATCCTTGATCCACCACTAGACCACTTTTTAAAGCTCCTTTCTGTATTTTTAGTTGAGCTGAAAAAATACCTGTACCTGCAAGAGTGTGTATACAATCAGCTCTTTTTCGACATTTGTGAGGTGTTGTATCCAGTTCAAGAAAAGCTAGGGGATAAATGCCCATGGACAGATTTACTTTGTTTTCAGGGAAACGTTTTGAAAGAACGGAAAATATTTGTGTTTAGGGGAATAACACAAAGGGAGCACAGTTCTCTTACAGTGATTATAGTGTCAACTTTTTCCCAAATCTGGAGTCACTTGAGCTGCTTTTTGAGGTCCAAGGCCTCAATTGTATTGTGTTTAATGGGAACAACTGGAGCCCTCAACATTCTTACCCACAAGTATGCCTACATCCCTCAGGATGCCGGACTGTGCGATTTATCGGGAATGAAGGACATATCTGAGGGATATTCTTTCCTAACCCCTGCATGTGAAAAATTCTATCAAGTGAAAAAAAAAGATGCGGCTCCATTTTCATTTCAACTGAAGATTACGTTATGCATTTTTGACAGGTTCATGTTATCCAATATAGTTTTGGGAGATGTTGTAAGTACTTGTGCCTCTTTGGTGTCCTTAATTACAGATAAAAACCCTGGAGTCAGATGTCCTGGACAAGGTTGGTTGTTCACCACTGCAGTTCCAAGAGGCTGCCGGCAACTTCATCTATTGTGTGGAGTTGGTAGCCAGGGCTCTTGAACATGGACAGGACAGCCAGGTGACTGATGATGTCCATCACCACAGATGGCCCCTCCCACTTAACCAGAGCCCCACTGATTGGCTCGGACAGTGTGCATGTGGGATGAAGTCGTTCCAGGCAGATAGTGACTGGCAGCTCTTGGGCAGCAGGCGACCAACAGAAGCTGGGAGCCAGCAATCAGGCAGATTGAAACAGAGCAAAACTCGCAGCCAGCAGACCTGTAAGCTAGAGAGACGTGAGAAAGGGCAAAGCTGTAAAAAACAGTCCCCGGATCTTCCTATTTCTGGCGCAAGAAAGCACTTTGTCCTGGACTCCTTCGCTGTTAAGCTCAATGCATTACATGTCGCTGTGGAAACAGCCAACGTCGTACTCAGGATTTCTCAAACAATAGAGGACAGCAATCTCTGACACTTCAATTCATCGTTTTACCCTTTGAAACCAGAGAAGAGTAGAAGCAATCACAAGAGTTCGGCAATCAAACCAAAATTATTATGAGCATCTGTACAAATATTAATGTGGTTTGTAGAGTCACAACAAATCATGACATCAAAGATCCATGTGAACCGTGCCGGGGTACAAAGCCACTGAGTCGTGTTATTCTTCAGTAAGTTAGAGTCGTCCGTAAGCTCAAGTCAGTAGGGCATTAGGCAGTATTCAAATATTTGGATAATACGCTTATACATGCAGTTATTTTCTAAGTCAAATGTTCGGAGGAAAAATAAAAATACTAAATGAAAGGGGAAAAATTTGTTTATTTGTTTACCAAATTCTAAACCGTGTTTCAAGCTGTTGGGAGTAAAATTAAAGCATTTGATGCATAGGCTCAACAATAAGGCCACAAATCACTTTCCTTTCGAGGTTTTGTTTTTTTACTGTTTGTGGGGTGTAGTCTTACTGGGACCTAGGGGAAAACTCGCCAACTACATGTAGGACCAAACATCACTTGAACTACCAGCCTTTTTATGTGGGGGATGGAACCCTGTCTTGAAACCCATTTAGCTAGACTAGGATGCCAACATGTATACCTTTTGTAGTCTGTTTCAGCAGCTGAAGGTCTATTACTTATTCGTATTCCAAGCAATTTCCAAACCACAGATTTTTATTAGTGGTCCAGGCCTCTGAGTTTTTAGGTCCGTTGACTGTGGAATTTCCTTTTACTATTTGATCAGATTTTGAGAGTTTCGAGTTGGTTTGGGTAGAGTAGGCTTCAAACAATTTTCATTTCATAATGAAACCAAAAATCACAGACTGCCGAAGTTTAGACAGTGGCCCATACTAAATTTGGTGCTGAACTCATGCCACGGCATTAAAAGGGACCGAGAGATAAGTCGATAGCATGTACACCGACATAATAAGTGCACAGGTTTTGCTCTTAGCCCTGACTTTAGTCCCAGCAATGTTTTATCTCATTAATCTGGTCTGTTTTATATTAACCCTTGTTGAGGGTGGTAATCTGTGATCAAATGAATCCAATGCCTGTAAAGATGTACCATCAACTTTTACTCTATCTGGTTTCACCATTGTGTTAGTAAATTTTCAACCACGTGTGTCTTTTTATTTGATTTTCTCACTTTAGAGTTGAACATCATTAAAACCATTTGACCGAGACAAGCATTAAATAGCATTTTTGTACGAGGATGCATTGCGTTCATGAGTACGGTACATATTTCTAATGCACGGTAGCCGAAACAGCCATTTATCATGCGTTCATTGTTATGTGTTTGGATTTAGTTTTTGGTTGGGGCCTACACTTACCAGACTTGGTTCAGAGTTCGAATGTGAACGGTGATGTCCTAGTTGGAAGTCAGAAAATGCCGCGGACATGGCAGCATTAATTTCCTGTAATTTTAATTGAAAATTGTTGCATGAGCCCTTTGAAAGCGACGCCAAACACAAATACTTCCCCTATAACTCATGTTTCCCCTTTCCGTCCAAAGATTTTATGGAAAAGACGCTACTTTTCACAACCCCCCCCCTAAACAAAAGTGCCCGAATGGGCAATGAACATCCACACGGCACTTAAGAGACCAGTGCATTTTGCCAATTCCCAGTATATTTGTAATATTCTACAGGTCGGCCTTGTTGGTTTTATTTGCATGGTAATAAGTAACAAGGTGCATGTAGTGTGCCTGTCATTTGTGTAAGTAAAAATGTACCCAGTTTTTTGTTTTTTCATACAGATGGATCATTTGTTTACCCACATAAGAAACACTCTTTGCTACTTAAAAAATGGACCCCTTTTGCAACATTTAACAAAATGAAGTTTGCTATCCGAAGTCTTCGGTTGTCTCTACCGCCCTGAATGCGACCAAACCTTAAATTCAGTCTGTTAGACGCCACATCGACGCGTGCAAAACTGAGAAAAACAAAGACCGGCTCTTCTGGGGATGTACATGTACGTTAATGAGCCCCAAATAATGACTGTGTCTCGCCACGAAGCACTAATTACCATTTGTTTGGAACAGAATTGGCTTTATGCTGTCCATTAGTAATTGGGTGCGAAAAACCAAGTCCGTGATTGCAAGAATAATGACAACGGCTCTATGGGAAAAGATGTGGTTTTTCAAACAATGGACACACTGAGAGCGCTCGTACAGTACACAAAGACAGATTCCCACACAAGCTCGGCGAACTAAAATCAGCTGTCCATTTTGCTCAGCACTGCGTTTTGAATTTCAAAGTAAATGTAAGTTTGTATTGGAAACGCACCAACCATCAGTAAACCTTCATTTGAATTAATTGAGTTGTGAACAAAGAAAGATAGGCAATGTATCCAGTTTTTGTCAGGTGTCAATCTGAAAGACAAGGAGGCAGTTTTTCTATCCAGGTAGTCGTACATTCTTTCCATTTGGCAAAGATGAAACCCTATTGGTCGAAGAGGTATATAATCCGCGCGTACCACCTGTCCATGAGCGTAGTACCACCGCAGTAATGGTTTCTCATTCTGGTTGTCGAATTACACTAAATATACACAGACTTTTCCTGTGACTTTAACTTCAATCCGTTTGAGTGAATTTGTTACTGAGTGCCTCCATCTTTTAAGTCTTGTAAGTTGTGAAGAAGCATTGATGGATAGGGTCAAGGCATTTACATTACACATAGCAACAGTCAGTAATTAAAGTATACTGTCTTTTGGGATATGTGTCAAAAGGTAATCCGAAAACGGGACACTGTTTCTTAATTTTTCATTTAGGGCTTACGTCGAAACACAAGTAGGCCTAGTCTTCCAGTTTAGTTGTATTCCATTCTGAGAAAGTTGAGGTATTTATGGTTAAGATTTGCAGATTTCTGCTCTTACTTGTATTGACTGTTTCTTGATACAGAAAAATGACTGATAAAGTTGACCAACAAAAAAGAAAAAACTCCTCGATGTTTTATTTCCCCTTTCCATCAAACCTTGGTAGTTTAAGGAAGCCTAACATGTATAGGTCTGTCCACATTTTCATTTATTTTCTTTTCAGATGCCGCAAAGCATATGAAATTGTGCTGTTGTGCTGACCAAAAGGCACGATTTTCATCAAAATAAGTAAGTGGAAACAAGAACAAGGTAGCTCTTATCTTATTAAACCCCAGTTTCAATCACACCTCGGCAGTTTAAGGAAGTGAAACTTGTAAGCCTGTCTGCAATTTGACACATTTCCTTGCGAGATGTGCATGGGATGAAATCGTGCAATTGTATGTGCCGCTCAAAAGCCATGTCATCGAAACCCACACGTTTTGATTCTTCTCATTACACACACAAAGTACGCACAAACTCCTCGTTGTTTAAGGCATTGTCCAAACACTGTGGGGTTCCTTCCTCCATGATCCAACGGAATTCCCTGGTACTTTTAGTTTCGCTTTCTGAATTTATCACCGAAACGGTTATAGCGATAATTTTGATCTTTACCAAGGTTGCTTATTTTGGAGTCTTTGTTAACAGACCCAATGTAATGTCAACAAGGAGACAAAGGGCACTGGAGCTTACTAAGAGTGTGTGTTTAGCACAACCCGGAACCTCATACAGATAAACTGATGCGGGTAGGTTGCTGTCTGCAACAGCTGCACCGAACAAAGCGCGACCCGGCAACTTGTAGGGTTTACTCGTGGAATGTTCGGGCGGTTTCGCCATCTTTTGTTGGGGGATTACATTAAAAGAAAAGAAAAGAAACACTCGCGTGGCAGTCGCGTGGTCAAATGTTTGCGGTTTTACAATGTCGGCCAATCAGATTGAAGGATGGGCCCACAGGCGACACTTCCCGCTGACCAAAACAATGAGTGTCATGAAAGCCATGGCAGAAATGGCTTGCTGTCGTGAACTCTTTCCCCTTGTTCGTACTGAAAATTGCATACCAGCAGATCCAGCTAAAATGGATCAATACGCTCATAAAAGTGGAAGACTAGTTTAAATATCTTTTCTGCCTAAAAGACTAGAGTGCATTGAGAAAAGCATGAGTATGTATCAATTTGGTGGGAGGGATATCGCGGAGTAGATATCAAGAGATAGTAGTTTCCCGCTCAAATTGCGTTATTTCAGATTTTTGCTTTACTTGTGAGATGATAATTAGGCCTATGCAGTGGCTGTGGTAATGTAGTTGTACCGTATGACAGCAGCTTTCGGATGCCAACAGTCTGAAAAGGGAAGTTAATTAATAGCAGTAGTGGATGGCCAGGCAGGGAACTGTGAACCGGGCCACGCGCCGAGCGAACAATTCAAAACAAAGCACGGCGCGTGGCGGGGCATTGAGACCAGGATCTTTAAACAGAAGCCGAGGCGAACAAAGACGGGACTATAAGGGGGGGCTGGGCCGCAGATTCCCTTACCCCCATCCAGCCCTTTGAGCAATTCTGTGTTTTCGTTCTCATTGACTCCTCGGTTAATGAAACCCCGTTCCCACACTGCATTAATCATTAGCACTGATGGGGTGCGTACATAAGCAAACAGAGCCATCGAATCGAATCAGTGTGAGATGAGATGCCATCACTGAAACAGGAGCCATTCAGAAGCGTGGTAATCGCCTCTGTATTCGCAGTCTGCAAGTTGCTTATTGATAGTTTTTTTCGGAAAATCAACTGGTGTTATAATTGAAATCCACGATTCAACTGGCAAAAATGCCGAAGGGGTTTTTAGTTAGGCGGCACAAAGACTTCGCGACGGTATCGCATCGCTCCAGATGGCTTGATTTCGATGCCGACCAGCTTTGGGCAGGACCTACGCAAGCAGCCGACAAGGACAGTGGACTTGCCGTGCAGACCGTCCATTGCTTCAAGAATGATCTGCGCGATTCCCCGGACTCTGGCTACGGGAGCTGTCCGGCAACGCCAGTTACCAAGGAGCGGTCACCCACTGCCCAAGCCGCTGTTTCGACACCCTCGAATGAGGTCTTCAATTCTGCGCGTTTCCACTCATCAAGTGCCTGTACTTCATCTAAACTAGTCAACTCTTCTCACAACGAGAAACGTACCAGGCTAATTTTGAAGATACCCATCACACCAGTTACGAAATCAACCAAGTGCTCCCCGGCTCGGAAGCGGCCTTACTCATCCTACGGGCCATCTAAAGGCACCCACTCTCCAAAACACAGTGCAGCGGCCATGAAGCCAAAAGCCGTCCGCAAAATCAACTTCGACAGCGACGATCAATCTCCCGTACTCGGCACTTTCATACGGGCAAGCTCGGACCTCCACGAGAAGGATAGAGACCGTGAGACGAGAGGATCGACACAGAATTACCATCAGCCCAGAGGCACATTCGTTTGCAAGTTGTGTCAAGAGGACTACCACGATCCGCTGTCGCTCGCCCAGCATAAATGCTCCCGGATCGCCAACGTCGTCTACCGATGTCCGGAGTGCGACAAGGTTTTCAACTGCCATGCCAACTTGGCCTCCCACCGCCGCTGGCACAAGCCCAGGCCCCTTCCGGATCCGTCAACCGATCCCATCTGCTCCCTTCCTTCATCTCCTGCTTCCACAGAATCCCAGGAGTGCATCTCCTATACGCGGAATTCAGGTACATTTGGAGCAGGCGGCCTGGGCAGCGTAGGCAGCAGTCCCAGGAGCACTCCCAGCCCCACCCGTGACAACACCGGGGATGGATCGCCACCATACCGGTGCGAGCACTGCGGGAAGGGCTACCAGCGGTCGGCCAACCTCCGCAGACATCTACAGCGCCACGGTGAGTCGGAGACGCATCCGTGCTTCAGTTGTGGACAAACGTTCAATAGTCTAACGGAAAGGGCCAAGCACGTTTTGTCACAAGCCTGCCAAAACAGTGACGGTAGTTGCTAAACTTTTCCTTGCAAAAAGTCTCTTGACAACCAATCCCTCACCTATATACTTGACAGTGTACGCTGTGCAGTTAAATGTTAACATTTGCCCTACTTCTTCCAGATGTGCCGTGTGTATTGATTCTTCTACTGCATTATTTTCAGTTAGCAAAGCTTAACTTTGATTAATTGGTTGAGTTTCCGCTTGAGTTACTTAATTATACTCAAGGTAGACTAACTTTCATTCCACATCACGATCAGTGGCGTATCAAGCGGGGGGGGGGGGGCAACTTGTTTTCAACTGAGTTTATTCATAAGTGAGTAGGAAAGAAACTAATCGGCATATTTATTTATCAAATAAATAGGCTATATTGTTTTCGCCCCCATTATCATGTTGAATGAGCCCAAAAGTGCATTTTGCGTTTGGAATTTGCCCCCCCCCATGGCGTGCAAAGTTAACATTTAATCCGGGTATAGAGATATCTCCAGTCCTAATAGCGATATCTCTATTCTTAATTGAGATATCTCCATTAATAACAGAGATATCTCTATTCTGGAACAAGTTTTAACTTGGCACGTCTAGGTAAAGAGGTATCTGTATACGCGGATTAAATGTTAACTTTGCACTTCATATAAGCCGACACCAAAAGCTAAGTAAACTACTAAGTCATGCAAACACGCAAATTCGGAAGCTGTTTCAAAACTCTATCAGTTTAGTACATTCCCACGAGCGGTGTATTTGTGTGGACCACGCCATGACAGCGTCTCCAACACAGAGTTACAATATTATTGGAAGTAAAAAAGATAAGATTTTGCCTGATTTTCTTCATGATTTATTGTAATTTCTGTATGATTCACATTTGGACACACTGTTGAGTTCCCATCCGTGAACTGTATTTTGTCGATAGGTGTTGATTGAACAGTAAACTCTTTGCTTGTAAAACTTGGATAAAATGACATTTTATGCTTCCCCATTTTAATCAGGAGATAGAAAATTAGCATACAACAAAATCCATATAAAGGAACAAAATACATACGTGATGGCCAGTATTGATCGAAAATGCAACCGTATCGAGAATGGTGGTCCAACCTCTTCACAGTGAAACGTGCCAAGGGGATGAACTAACCAATGTGTCCACCATAATGAACCAATTATGAACAGAACACAGGAAGTGATTTATCAGTAACATATTATGACTTTGTTTGGTTAATGATTTTGATGCATGAAAATGTAAGATATATACTTTTCGTAGCTAAAACTTCTCTTGAGGGCAAATTGTACCTCTAATTCAGATTTGTTTTTTCGATTTACACGTAATTAAAATGGTGGAAATACGTAAAAGTAATACCTACCTCAGTTAGCTTATTATACCCATTTTATTGCTAAATTTATGTATAACGTAACTAATGAAGTTTAATTTTTAAAATGTCACGAGTATAACTTTTGATTTTATGTAATTTATTCACAGCAAACGCAGCATCGTTTATTGTGTTCGATTTACAATCTGCCTTCAAGGGGACCTGGCCACAAAGTTTTCTTAGACAAAATGTAGAACAATAAATTTGACATCCCTCTGAACGTCTGTGCATTCAAACGTCGACTCTTAGAACATTTTGAAATTTGTCCATGCCTTTCCAGACAACAGAGGGCGCTGCTGCGTGGAGTCAATCGGGGAAGACATTTCAGTTAACAGGTTTCTCTCTGACGTAGGCTGCATCCGAATCCGTTGTCTAGAGCTAGGTCTAGGTCTTCACTCCATGGAAAGTACGTGGAGACGTGCAGACAATAGACTTAGCCGTAGCTCTGGAAGCCTGTTTCGGACACGGCCTTAGTGCCACGAACTAATACTATTCTCAACCGAATGGTAAACGTCAATCGTAATGAACTAATGAACAAAGCTATTTATTGATTTATCAAAGTGATTTATCAGTAACATATTTTTACTTTTTGGGGGCATGAAATTGTAAGATATTATTCACAGCCACAACTTCTATTGAGGGCAAACTGTACCTCTAATTAACGGGTTTTTGTTGTGGTTTTTGTTTTGTTTTTTGGATTTATATGTAATTAAAATGGTGGAATCATGTAAAAGGAATACCTACCTCAGCGTATTAT